GTTTAGTGACTTAGCTCCGCCTCGAAGATTTTGATAGCTTGGCCAAGCGCGTTGAAGAATAAAGTTATATGATTGGCTGTTGTTAAACTGATTCTAAACTGTGAGGGCATTGTCACATACACATAGTCCTAATGAAATACTTCAAGGTGATGTAGAGTGGAGTGCTTCGCCGGAACATTCACCTTGAAAATTCAAGATGATACCGATACGTTGTTCTGGACTCATTTTCGTGCTGGTACTCGAACAACAGTCTCATAATTCTTAATGCTGCACATAGGGGGCGCTTGTATAGATGTGATGGGTTTATTCATTCCATCCATTACCGCAAAAGTATTGTTTTCAAGGCTATCGGCACATTGAGCTCAGTGACGTTCAGTTACCAGGACACGCATAGTTGTGGTGACCAGAAACATCGATAGCTCTCTCATCCCTCGAGTGCTACGTGATCAATGTTACAGCTGAGTCTTACTCCGTCAGTCTGTCGCATGACCCGGAAGTCTGACGTACCGATGAAACTCCCTTCAAATTTAAAGGGCGGTGGTAGTCGCGCTGTGCATATGCGACATTTGTGTTGATAAACATTGATTTTCCCACAATCCAATGCGCTCTTCTAATGGGAATCACAAGTATGTGGTTTGACCTGGGCGCGACTTACTCCGTCGGTACCGTGACTACTTCGACACTTTTCAATCATCTAAAAATATATAATTAAAGCTTGGTAACGTGTCAATTTGTACTCGTTGATCTGTGCAACAGTAAAAATTGCCATCATTGTTTATATGAGACCCATATATCTCGCGCATACGTGGCACGACGACTATGGCCCTTCAAATTTATGAAATTGTTTCATTTGGTACACTCACAATTTGCAACTTGGGTAATATCGTTATTTTCGCACCTCAAGTTCCCGGCGGACAAAACAACTACGCAACTAATGTAGACAGGTTATTAATTTTCGACCATTCACTTGTGAGTGGACGCCGCCCCAATCGTCATTTCCGTCATTTGCATATTGACAGTAAATGTGGAAACCGGAGATCTCGATCAACATTTGGATAACAAAACCTAGACATATAATACATATGCGGTTGAAATAGAGTAAGAAACCAAGGAGTGTTTTTTTATTTATTTTAAGACACTGACAAGGCGGTATTTGCTAGCTGGGCACGCCACCCAATATCCGCCAGCTGGAAGGAAACACGACAGTCTGTCCCGGAATATCACCTACTTATATTTCAACGGAAGAACGGTATGGTCTCGTATTATGAGATTGAAAAGTAAATGCACCCAACGCGATGTTACGGGAAGTCGTGGAAACATGGCGTTACAGGCATTCGACGATACAATTTTTTATACACAATTTAAAGAAAGCAATTATTTAAAGTATTTAGGTTTCCGCTCATCAAGATATATTCAGTTTAATCGTCGTTCAGTTTGACCTATCACGTTATTAAATATCCACAATTAAAATGGTCAACACGCAAAAAGAAAAATACACTTTCAGATGTACAATTTTGTTAATGCCACTGTCCTGCGCTAGAGCAGAGTTCATTGTAACACTGGCAGTCTACAATGGCAAGCATAAACCGTGCTTTTGTAATAAATGACATAAAACCAAATACTCGTAATCCTGCACACATCGTTGCCATGTAACCCGCTATATGCAGACACTATGCAATAGTGTACGTGATTGCAGATCTGACAGGTGAAGATGGCTCAATTAAAATATCTAACGAGAGGCTACATGATACCACAATGCACTGCAACATAGGCAAATAGTTTCTCTGTCAATAGTATGGCGGGGATGCCCCCATGATGGTGGTCTGTGCGATATCTAACGTAAAGGCTAATATATCTTAGCCATTGTGAAGCTCCCGTGCGCATCTGACTTGAAATTCAAGACGCATTGGTCACGAACTCACACCCGAGGAGGTTAAACCAATCAGAGAAGGCTTTATATAAAGTCACGGTTGGACTTTAATCCTTGCGCGCGGATAGCATAATCACTATATAAAATGCCTTCTCTGATTGGTTGACTAATCTGGTTATCTTCTATGATGAGTGTTCGGATTCGTTGACGTTCGAAGCCAGAAATAGAAAAATAGAAATCAATGAACAATTAAAAGAATGAGAAAAAACGTCCCCAAAAAATCTGATTTTAATCAGATTAGAGCCACCCCTTTGACGTACGCCTTCGTTCTGTGTTGTCACATTACCATGTTCGTTTAATTACTGCTTTATGATTCATCATTGCTAACGCAGGCGTTCACAGTATTTATAAAATGTTAGCGTTCGAGACAAGATAGAAACTCGATATTCATTTACAAATAATACAAACTCTCGCCGGACTATGGGAGTTTTTGGTATAACGGGTCAAAAGGGTAAAGACGTATAACTATTCGTGTTCATTGGGACGTGCTTTCGTTAAAAGGGTAATTTATGGCCCCGGTGTTGTTACCGTGTATTCCATACAGTCGCAACATTGTTTGGCAATTAAACATATATCGTATATTTGTTGCCAGGGAAACTAAATTCTTGTGGAAGAGTTGTCCCAATCGGCCTGACGCAAATCATGACCGTTTATTATTCTACGCTCCTCGTCAACAACTGAATCGACTTTCCATACAAATACGGCGGATGAGTGGATTTATATGCATTCCTCTTAGTATGAACGCGAGAGGTGATTGTGTACGGTTCAATTCACACTGTGAAAAGTAGTGGGTGCGGTCGTGGTACAAATTCGGACCAGCTATTCACTTGTCGACGAGTGGAGCCGTTGTAATGTAGTTTCTAATAAATCAACTTTAAAAAATGTTGCGCCATGCTATATTTTAATTGAGGTCACGGGTCAAATGAATTTGCGCGTCTAAATATAATCTTACCGTCGTGCTATCATTTGCAGTATAAATAACTACCAGTGAGACCAGTGTCATTATTCCGGAACTTAGTGTGTGCCTGTCGCTGTTGCTATGGTGATTGAAACAGTTTGTGCCTTACTGTAGTGTAATATTTGGAGATGTGTCCCAGTTAGAATTCGGACTCACATGCCAGTAACTTACGAGGTTTGGAATTTCTCGCTGGATAGAAACCGAGACCGAGAGTTACTAAGCACAAGCATATGATGCTCGGTGTATCAGTGACCCTCGTGGTGACCCTCAATGTATTGTCTCGTATGTCACACAGCTTGTCAATTTCATGTCAACACACTGGATACGTGAACACAAACTTCGGAGACGTTTTCAAAGACACAACTGCCCGGACTCTAACAAGGGCAGCATTGCATAATTACTTAGATTTTACTCGAATCGAATTTAAAAATTTAAAATGTTGGGATTTTCGAATAACTCATCGCCGCCCTGTTGTATAGTATATCGTATATCGTAAACTCACACCTCAACAAAATGTTTTCCAAATGTTTGCCCCGTTACACTCTTACACGGGAATGTGATCAGTCAGTTACGTCGCGTACCACGTCCATTTGACCAATTATGGACCGTGGTTACCATGAAGGGCGGTGATGCCCGGTTTATTGTTTGTGTTAAATACCTTTCTTTTTTGATTGCGGTTACCTCGGGTGTCTTTCAAAAGCGGCACAATAATATAAATACCAACTTGACGCTAAACAATGTTCTTTTCAACTCCCAATGCCAGATTTGTTTTCACCCGGCTTTCTCAGACTGCCAGGGGCCTTTTCTGAGAGAGAGGATCATTCGTATGTTCATGTTGACAATAGAAACGTGTACACCTTAATTTGAAAAGGAATGAACTCAGATTGGGCGTGGTGTTGAAATTATCCTTTACCTGCGATGGCAATGTCAATGTTCTTTTTTTAAAATTATTACCTGGTGTAACACAAATATTGTATTATAAAACGGCGAATTAAATGAATCTAACGCCTGCACACACTCCTGAATTCAACAACCGAGGCCTGTATCATGACCTAAAGGTACACTACATCACGTGACCCAGCCACTGCTATTAAATTAGCATATGACATCATTGAATGGTTGTATACAGACGAGCAGGAGAGCATAGGCGACACACCCACCAATGACGAGAAATAGATATAAGTTGACACCTGGTATCGTCGTCCGTCGATGTTACTGTACAACAGATACGACAACGCTACCGTGTTACCCGCCGAGGGGATTCGAGAATTAGACGATGAATCCCGGCGGACGTCGTCGCGTTTGAAACTGAAAATTACGCTGTTGATTGTCAACAATTGATATTTAAATACTAGTACATCGCTATAGAGTTTCTTCTGTACACAGTCACGTGAAATAAGCCTCGAACTACATTGACATGCACTGTGAATATATCATAAGTCAATCTGGAATTTTCTCACGCACAGAACAAACATCAACTGAAATAGACTGACAGTGGAGTGAGCTATGTACGGAGGCCATCTACGAACTCATGAATAAAGACCCTCCATAGCACTATAACGGTTTTCTACATCTGACAACACATTAAGCGACAACGCATATCAATTATCACGAGACAACTTACCGCTAGAGATGAAAACAACGATGTACACCAGCTGATGGTTCAGATCGGGCAAAGACGTGGGTCTGGATGCACACAACACTCTGTATGGACTGGGTGCAGTGGTATGTCGATCAATTTGCATGTGTTAAGTATAAAATTGTAACGTCCTGTGGGTTGAAGTTTGGGGCTGTGTGCAAAAATCTCTATAAAAAAGGTCATTTCATTTCCATAAGAGGTACTACGTGGCGTTTATTATTTGAAATGAAAGAAATAAACAACACAACCATGCACGGCATCTAGTGCTCATGTCTGATTATTTGAATGAGAAATCGCTATTAATATTTGGTGATGTTGTTGTGATGAGAGGAAGAGGAGGAGGTCGCAGTATCCAGCCTTGAGACTTAAATTTTAATGCATTACATTACGTCACTCTCCGTGTTAACTGTCATTGCTCTATTGAAAGGATTAAACCGTTTCAAATCCATACACGAACGTGACCTTTCTCAGGGGAATCACTCCGCCAGAAGGATAAATAAAAGCTCACTTAAGACGAGTAACTCCTAACGCTAGTACACACGGCCGCGCATGCATGTATCGCCGCCACGAGCTTCCACAAACGTCATAATATATGCGTGTTTTATGGCCCTTTGTGATGTTATAACTTATTACTAGTCATGTAAAGTGGATTTGAATAGGAATGCGAACATAGTTTTGCTGGTACGAGACAAAGACTATGGACGTTGCGGTCATGCTAGTCAGTTGAACGACACTGCTTAATATAGACAACGCTAGTAGTTCTAATGTGAATCGTACCAGTGTGTGTGTTTTGATGGTGATTTGAAAAATGGTATATGATGATGGGGGAGAGTCTCTCTTCAATAGTGATGTTAAGTGGTCTAGACATGGGAACTAGTATATTAATAGTATTGCATGTAAGCCATTGTACGGCTATAAGCTCAGCAGTTTGCCCAATAAAATGGTTACTATGGACACCCATTTCATGTCAACATCCACACTCATGATGTTAGCGAGCATGTCGACGTAAACGCTCAGAGATCCATAGGAGAGTGGGGTCGATTGCAATCTGATTAAAATCTGATGTAGTGTACAGGCTTTAATTATTTTGGCTATAAACTTGTTTTAATTTTATTTTGTATTACTTTTGTTATTAATGCCCTTTTATTTTATTATTTTACTTTGATTTTGATTTTTTTTAATTCCGCCCTACCTACATCTGAACCGATGCCTATGTAACGAGATTTCAACGAGACCCACTAT